ATGCTGTGTATTGTGCAGATAACTGTTGTTTGCTCAGCATCTTCCTTGCAAAACACAAACAACTGTCAGACAATGGATTCAGTGCTTTGTCTTTACAGAACCACAACCACCTCCATCTGACTACCATTTCCAAACTCAGCACTTACAGTATCACTTTGCTTTAGCACCTTGCTTCTATTGCTTCTCTTTTTTTTAACAACTAACATATGTACGTTGGACAGATTCATGTGGTCTGGACGGGCGGGCAAGTGTGTGTAATGTAGTAAATGTATTTGCCAACAGCTTTGATAAATTATGCAACAGTTTAATGGACTTATTTACTGCTTCCACTGTAGAAAATGCAGCAACACCTTAACTGAGATAATGCCCATAAAAAATAAATTAAACATTTACATCAAGTCATTAAAAAATGATTCCAATGTTAAGATTGACCAGATGAATGATAACAGGTATCATTGATGACATGCTCAAGTTACCTCGGAACGAAATCTGAGAATCTGAACAAATCATAACAAGCGACAATACAGACGTGTTTTTACTGACTTCCAGAGTCTATGTCCAGGCTACATTGCATTTCTAGGATTTATTTAGTTTGATGTCATAATCCCATAATTTCCTAACTGAGTAAATCCAAATTTACTACTTGCCTATGCTTTCGCTCATATACCGTGATAAAGAGGGGCATGTTCAATCACTTCCTAGACAGAGCAGATACTGTTGAGACAGCTGTTTAGAACATAATCTTGAAGAGATACTAGAGAAACTAGCCATTATCATGGATAAATATTTTATGCCCATGTGAGATTTTTTTGTTTGTTGAATCCTATGCTTGTGACTCAATTGTTTTATTTAAATTCAGAGCAAGTGAAAAGGGTTTTGCAGCATCTTACAGAAAGCTTCCCAATGATGGGGGCTGTGGCTTGTGCTGCAAACAGACTGGCCTTTGCCTGGAAGGACTCACCAGATGATATAAGGTACATGGCCACCTTCAGGGACCACCATCAAGACAAATTACAACATTTCCAGGAAGTGAAGGACAAACACTACCTCTGTCTCAGTACAAGGCCATCAAGACCCTACAGAGGAATCTGAGTGCAGTCCGTTGAGCCTTGACAGAGGAGACAAAGATGAGAAAATGTCCAGAGGCACACACAGATTTGCGGGAGGTGTGCCCCAAATGCCCCCTTTCTACAGAGGAATGCCAAATGGGCACATCTATTTATTAGATTTTTCTATATAATTCACTGAAATGAGGGTGGTTTCCATGTGAGTCAACAGCAGGGTTTTTATTAAACTTTGGTTCCTGGCACAAATCAGACTCAGAGGAGCATCAAGGAAGCTGGAAGGACTCCACTCACTGTAACTTTACTGGGGCATTCAATGTGGGCCAATTAACTACTGTATGTTTCACAACACACATACACACACAACAACAACCAGGAATAGATCATGGGTCTACAGGCAAGAGAGTATGAGTGTGCCAGCCTCAACTCCAGCTGGAGCCTTCTTGTGGTCGTTAGAATAATTATCCCCATTTTCAGTCAGATGAACAATACTAAGAGCACCACTTTTGAAAGCACAAAAAAAATTCAAAATTAAAAAGGCCTTTGAAACCAGCTTCAAGGAGAGAACCTGGCTGCCTGCCTGAGGATCTCTGCTGTGGAGCACTTGAATATTTTGAATTATCAACTAGCTGATCCCCAGAAAAACAATGTTGTGATAATCAGTTCGCATTTTACTGGGAAACTAAATCCCCATTTTACGCTCTGTGAGGCAATAAAATGATTTCTCCAAATGAATGAACTATTGATTGATTGATTGATTGATTTTGTTAAGTTCAATTTAAACATAGTTCAGCTTTCAAAAATAAATATGATCCTATGAGCCATTAAATGTGTTGGGGATGATGGATTGTTGGCTGGTGAGCAAGTTGAATATGAATTGATAATAACAATAGTGGTTAGCGGTTGTAGGTTGTAGTTTCCAAACTGACTTAGAAATCAAGGCCAACTCCTTGGTTTTTGTTGTACACTGAGCAAAGGATAAATATGAAACGGAATTTCATATTTTATTTTGAACACCTTTTGTATGAGACTGTCTTAAAGTAAGTCCTTGGTTGAAAAAAGCTTGCTGGGAATAATTGTTTGGTTTGTAGTTCTTTTCCAGCCTTGTACTGCAGCCTCTTTCTGTTCATTCCCCTTTTTCCCTCTGATGAAGCCCTTTGTTGTGTTGGCAGAGTGTTTGGGTCATTGTCCTGCTGCATGAAGAAGTTTGGAGGCAATTCTCTGTAAATTGGCAGAGAAAAAGTTTCTGTAGACTTGGGAATTCTCTCTGCTGCAGCCATCATGAGTTACATCATCCATAAAGATTAGTGAGCCCGTTTCACATCAGCCATGAGACCACCTCCACTGAGCTTCACAGATGAGCTTGTTTCTTCTGGATCATGAGCAGTTCATTTCTTTCTCCACACTTTGTCCTGTCTGTCACTTTGGTATGGCTCATTAGGAGCTTATCAGTCTAGAAAATGTTGCTCCAATGCTTTTGCAGCTCTTTTGTGTACTTCTTTGCAAATTCTAATCTGGCCTTCTAATGCTTACTGTTAATGAGTGGTTTGTATCTTTTGATCTAGCTAGCCCATATATTTTTTCTTCGGAGGTTGGTGCTAATGTGACTGGATGTTGCTCCTGGATTTTTCTTCTTCAGTCAAATAGTTTTTTTAGATCCTGGGATGTCACTACCCTCTGAGCAGGTTTTCTCCGCAGTGAGTCTCACATCAAATTCACTAGACTAACTCCACCAAACTCCATGTGGACATGTTGCCATTTCTAATTGAAACCACCAGACAATCACGCTGTTAAGGATGGCCTGTTTATGGTGGAGGATTTCTATGGCTCCTTAATGAACTCTCATTAGCACCAACATGTCTGCTTGACAGTCATTAGAAGATGCACAGTTTATGCAGATTATATGCCCAGTTCTGCCTGCCTGCCTAGGTTAGTGAAAACATTATGGATATTTTCAACAGTGAGTCCACTCTCACTGGCAGGGGGGGGAGAGAGAGAGAGAGGGAGAGAGAGAGAGAGAGAGAGAGAGAGAGAGCAAGGAGCATTTCACACATTCTACAATGAAGCAAAAGTGGTGTAAGAAAATTCTGAAACATTGTCAAACTGTATTGGGACAAATTAGACTGTGGTAGCTGCTACAGTCAAGGTAAATAATATCAAATAATCTAGGCCTATTGATTAGTTTTATTCTGTTTTACTCTTAATATGTTGCAGACACTTGTCCGAACTAAATATAACATTTTAACCTTTTCAGTTACAGTTAATGGTCAGTTAATGCGCTTCGGCTTTTAGTTAGAAAAAAACATTAATGCATATGAGAGTAGCCAATAATTCAAACCAACTCTGAATAATATATAAAATAAATAACAACAAATAATATTCGAGTATGTATCATCTGTTATGTCATGTGTTATCAGAATTTTATTTCATTTTCAACCGAATCGCTGAACATCTAATTCTGCCTCGCCGTTATGTCAAAAGATAAATACTTAAACTCGAGAGGTTTGATCTCCTGATTAAATACAATGTGACTGACAGTAAAAAGGCAACAGGTAGGCAGAGCTGGAGAGACAGAAGACCAACAAAAGAGATACACAAGCATGGAGTGTCAGAGAAGATGACTGTGACCTCTTCAACTCTGCAGGATGCAACAGAGCCTGCCAACACAAAACATCATGTAATTCACACTTCTTCTCTACACCTGCAAACTTCCACAAGATGCGGAACATATATGGAACATGTCAGGTTGACTGTGAAGGAAATGTGTATTAGCTGAAGCACAGAATGTGTCTGTTTTATGTAACAGTGCAGCCATGTGTCTTGACTGAACATTTCTCAGCGTTGCATCATCATTGAAGAGCAGGGGAAGTGGATATAGGATAGATACTACAATGTTTACACAAACTTCAGCACCAGCTTTTATTTAAAGGGGATGATTGAAAATGCCCATACACCTAGGTCTCGATATTACATTTCAGAATCTTCGGTGCATTCGTCCTCCTCAGTCACAGCACAGGCAATTTCAGCTGTGAAATAGACTGAAGACTGATCCATTTTGCGACAGACACTGCCACAGAGAGAAAGAGACGAGCATTGGCGGAACAATGTGTACTAATCCACACTGAGACAGAGGATGCACTGTACGTGTGTGTCTGTGTGCACTCGTGTGAATGTGTGTGTAGCGTGGGCTAGTGGGGGGTGGGGTATTATTGTATAATGGCAGATTTAGTCCCTATATAGAACATAACACAATCTTCCCAAAACTGGTGGAGGGTATAGGCCGTGCAACTTCAGAAAAAAGAGCCTTTATATAACAAAGGCCTTGTAGCTGTGGAGCTGCACCTGACTGCCTTCGACAAAAATGCACTGCTACTGTAAACACAGACAAGTAGATCAGCCCCAGTCACTGTCATGGGTCAGTGCAGGTCACTCATGCAGGATTATTAATATTAAAATGTGAAATGTCATGAGATGCCATGAGGCCACACTGCAGCCATCACTGGTCAGAGGTGAGCACATGGAGCTGATGCAGGGCTGCCATGGAGATATCTTTGAACTACTGTATCCCAGGGATAGTACAGGGGGGGGGGGGGGGGGTACCATCCTGACTGCGGCACCACCATAACAAAGAGACAAGGATCCACGGAGCTCTGCATGAGACCCCCGCCCTCCCCCTCCTCCTCCTCCTCCTCCCATCACCCCTCACACGCCCACTTCCCTCCATCATTAAGATGGGAAACACCGCGCACCATCATCCGCCACGCAGTGGACACACAGGCCCGTACTCTCCCGCAGCACCGTCCGGATAACACAATCAAACACCACATGGATTTTCATCATTCATTCACAAGCACGGGGCGCAGGATGGCGCAACGCGAGGATACAGCCACGATCGCGCGATGACACACGACGGATGTGGTTTTCAATGGTACTCACCGTTCAGCTGCGTCCCGATCCTGTGGCTGAGTGTGTGTCAGAGTGTGTGTGACAGTCAGGAGTGTGTGACGGTGAGAAATGTCTCCACCTTTCTCTGTGAACCAGGCAGACTGGTGCCCACACTCGCACAGCTCCCGCCCCCCTGGACCACCGCCGCAGCCAATCAGAAGCGAGGGAAGAAAAAAAATCGGAATCCGCAGCAGGCAGCTGGTGATGCCTTCACTGGCCACCATAAAAAAAACGAGAGTTTTCACTTTATTTGGTTTTTTTTCGATTTGTGGAATCCATTTTAGCAAAGCCAAGGGATGACAAGCCCAAATCAGGACCGTTCCAACATGGACTCAAGGAAGTTACATCAGGTGACAAAAAACTGGGCGTCACAATGATTAAACACAAGAATACCCATAGTCATTGATGTCATTATTAAACAATCATCCATAACCTGCCACCAGGCACCGTAGGAAGCCATCGCCTGACTCAAACCTCTTGTTTTGAGCAACGTTCCCTCTTCCAAGGAGGTTTTCACTTGCATCTGTGTTTTGTCATTATTAAACAAATCTGCTGAACCAATCTGCCTCACACAGGAGGAATGAGGCACGAGCCAGGATGGAACTCATTACAAGGTTGTCATAGTTGTCACACATTTGTGTCAATGATAAATGTTCTGTAGGTATATAGCACTTTTCTAGTCTTGATCACTCAAAGTGTTTTTGATCCACTCACACAAAGCCATTAGGGGCAATTTTGGGATTCAGTATCTTGCCCATGGACACTTGGGAATGGAACCACCCTCTGGTTGGTGGACGACACACTCTACCTCCTGAACCACAACCTCCCTGTGCTTTAGTGTGGATGCAGGAATCTTTTTTAAATCACTTTCCTTCACATTGCAAGACTCTTTTTGACCATGTTGTTAAATTCATCTTCATCTGGATGTGACCAGCACATGTGACTATCAATTGTTAATAGCCATACATGATCACAAACAGTTACTTCAGTTACACAAACATCATTACTGTCTAGTCTAATCTTAAAATGCCTCCCTTATCATAGACAATGTAGAATACATAATCCTAATCAAAAAAAAATATACAATCAAAGTTCCATAAATAATCAGATTCACTTTTTGTTCCAATAAAATTACATTTCTGCTTCCCCGCTTTGTGTTTATTTGTTAGAATAATAATCTCATGTGGACCACCCAGAGCTGAGGATGGTATATCTTAATAAACAAATCTTGATATTTGACTTTGTGTGAGTACATTTTCTTGACAATCGCATTCATGGTTGGACAATTTCTTTTTATGGTGAATTGAAGCATTTAAAAGAAAGACAGGCCTGGATACCTGACTGACTGGCTGTCGGACCGGATGTCTCAGATGCTCTCTGATGAAGCTAGCTAGCCAGATGACTGACTGGCTGTTGGAGAGGCAGAGGTTTCTATAGGATTATAGGGGATTATGGCTCCCATTTGATTTGGTGGGGGGTTTTGTAATCTCTCAAATATCACAAACTGTGTGCACACAAGCACAAAAACACAGTAAACAAATACACATGCCGAAATGACAGATGTCCTCTTTTTATATATTTTACCAGATGTTCAGTCCTAACAAGCAAACTAACCATGATACAACCGCAACATGAGAATGCATGTCTTTTTGTGAGGGTATTTTGCAACAGCATTTTGACACATCCCATCTGATCCACTTGATGCTGGATGCTCTTTGACTGAGGATAATCTATTAGTCAGAAAATGTCTGGATGAATTGGGACCAGACTTTCTCTGGACTTTTCCTTCTACTTTTGAACAACGTAGCAGGAGATTCTCTGGGTCAGAGAGTTCAGGTGGGGGGCTGTTATAGGTGAATGCCGGACATAACGTATTAATTCTGCTGCATCGACACTGGCATCATCCCTTATTTTTGTAAATTACAGTGACTGATCTGTTGAGCATGTTTATACTGTTTTTTTGTGTGTAAATTATCTAAGGCATGACATTTTACTCCCACATCATTTCTCGGTCAATGGCTGGTCTGATTTGCCATATGTACAACTGTGGGTATAAGCTGCCATTGGTTGGCAGTATTCTCCTCCCCTTCTGCTTCCTCTTACATTTTCAAAATCCCCTTCGCTTTGAGAAAAAACAAGAGCAACCTCTGTGCTACAATCTATACACTGAATGCAGCAAAGTGTGATTTGAATTATGAATACAATCGCACAGTCAACATCATGTTTTTGCTGTTTTTGTTGTTTTGTTTGCAGGGAAGTAGCCATGGACTCACAGCACTCACACATGAGCCTGGTGTGTGCTCATCTCTTTGTGAAGTGTATTCCCCATGTAGATTAGTATTGCATGGACAGCTAGCATGGCACATATAGCACGAAAGCTATGTTGTGTGTCCTTAGCAGGAAACTGATCGTTGTTATGACGACTGTGCCAGGATCAAGCATCAGGGATGCCCACCATAAAGTGTGATTGCTTAGCACCCCCCTAGATGACTTTGATAGGTTAATGCCAGTAGCAGAGAGATAAGGATTACAGCTCATTCTCCAGCGATGACACAGAGCTGCGGGGACAGGTGTGGCTGTGCGAGACGACTTGAGTATTTTACCCGCAAGTACTCACAATTATACAGTCTGCTGTAAACTGTACCATCTGCTCTGTGATATAACTGGCAGCACAATGGCTCGCTGCAGTTCAGTACCAGGTGCACTTTTTTCCTTTCTTCCTAATAATCTAAGGGAATTACACAAAGCAATTTAACTATCCATTTATTCATTTATTATTTTCTTTGTTTATTCAATGTCGGACCTGTTGATAATCTATAATATGTACCATCTGATTTGGTTTAGTATGATTTTTAGTGTTGTGTTGTTTTTTGTGTGTTAATTGTTTTTGGCGGTTCTTTGGTGATATATCTTAGGCCTCTGTTGTCTCAGTCTGAGATAATGGGACATATTTCCTTATAAAATGAAAAATGTTTAAGATGGTGCCAACTCTGTGACGCAACTGTGGGCTTCAACCCAGTTCCAGTGCAAATAAAATGAATTGCATTACACCGTAGCCCCCTTTGCCCAGTTATATAGTCACTAACTTGGTACAGAGTACAGTGGGTTTATCAGAGTTGTGTCCCCCTAAATAATGAGCTGGAAGAGACTGACGTTTTGGGTAACTGCAGATTTAGTGATCATTCTCTATGTGTCTATTTATGTCCGAGCAACACATTTGCATTATCTACTGTTCATATACAAATACTGGTTGATGCTCCTTTAATATTGTAATGCATCTGTTTAGATAGAGTTTTGGTCAGCTCACTTTAAATTATTTTCACCAAAAATACTGAAGAATATTTTTTGTTAGTAATATTACATTTTTTCTCATTTGAATATTTGAGGATTGAGAACTCTTCTTCACTTGCGCAGGTCTCTTTTGAAGAAGTCATATTCAAATCTAAGGAGACTTTCAGATCAAATAAAAGTTCAATCACAATGCAAACAAACCCTTTGACCCGATTGAAAATAAGCATAAACCTGTTGTAAGCTGTTCATCTCATCTGTCCTATAAGCTGAGTTGTTTCTCTGCAGCAGCGGATCTTGATGACTCAGAGGGCGTGGCTGCAAGTACGTTACCGTCATCAGGTTCATGCAGAGGAGGAGTCAGAGCTGCTTTCTTTTCATTTACACGCTGCTTCACTGCCTGTCCACTCCTCCATTTATCTTCCCATCACCCCCCTGTCCTCTTCTTCCATCCCATATTCTCATCACAGTGTTACATAATACTGTGCCGCCACCATCTCTCTCTCTCTCTCTCTCTCTCTCTATCATCACATCTCCATTCCTGTCTAACTCAAACTCAGTCTGTCCATCTCTTCTCTTTCAGTGCATCATTCTTCCATCTCGTTCTTTTCCATCCTTCCAGTCATTATACCCTCTCCAGAAGTCCTCCCTCTGCCCCCTCAGTAACATCTAAAGAGATGGCACAGAATTCAAATTTAATTAGTCACTCTACTTCAGATGCTGACAATTACATAAAAAAGGCTCTCACTGATATCATTACACTGTAGTATTACAGTCTGTCATTCAAATGCATACATTCTAACATGTATACCTCATTCTTTACTCGTCATTAAACTTGCTTGCACAGTACCAACAAAATCCACACACATACCAGATATACACACATACACAAAAAGGTAGTGTCAACAGCTATGTGCATAGCTCTGTGAGACTGCTAAGGCACAGTGGGTCATTAAGCTAAATGTTAAGATTGACATATGTTAACATGCTCATAAATGCAATGCTAACATGCTGAGGTTAGGTGGGTGAAGAGTTACCGGGTTATCAACTTAATCAGTTCAGTCATTTATTATTCCTGGTGGAAAACCGCTCCACAACATTCAAATAATAAACCAGTGCAATGCAAAAAAACATGCACTGCAGTTGTCCATGCCAGCCAGTGCAGTTTCAGTCTAGATAAGTTGTTTTCAAAAACTCATATGAAGTCACCAGGACCTTTGACTTTTACAAATCTAATCAGTTAAGTAGAAATTTGAGCCAAAATTTGAAAATATTATTCGATTTTCATGGGTTTTTGTGAGAGTGATCTTCGACCTCCAAATTCTAATCAGTTCATCCTTAAGTCCAAGTGCAAGATGCACAAACATTCATTCTGGGTGTTCCTGATTACATACACAACACAACAATCTGGTCTAGTGAAGTTACCAAACTTAATTTGTTCAGATACAAATTGAGCAGGTCATGCATGGGGGACAACAGAGTTTCTACCTCTATTAAACTTAATGTATAACAGGCTGCTCTATATCTCTTGCCTGAAGGAAAGGTTTCAAACTCTGTCAAACATAGACCTGACTTTAGAGGACCAGTTGCTCAAAGACAACTGTCAGGGGGTTTGTACAAGCCGTGTTAGCCACCTTCACAATATGACTTTTACTTAGTTTTAGCATGCTGACATTTGCTAATTAGCTGTAAAAACAGAGTAAAGATGGTAGGAATATGTTTACATTAGCAGATATTTAGTTATCAATCAAAGTATAGAACACAACTCTTATTTCATGTTTGAGGTATGTGGATTGGGAAAGTAATGAGCCTCCCAGACCCCTGTGGCTCGCTCCTCGAGGGCACTATTAGTATAACACACCAAGATGGATTACACAATCAA